TCTAATTCACCTCAACGTCATTATGCGATGAGTGTCGCAACATTAAACTAGCCCCACATGTAATATGTCATAAAGGTCGGCATATCAATGTCATTTGATAAGCATAAACGGACACATTTAATACCTAAGGTACGTTTAGATTTACGAATCTCGATCGATCTCAAATGTCAATTCCATTACGTATACGTCAAATATAATCCACTGGATTTGTGAACTGGATTTACGTGACGTATGCGCAATGGAATTGACATTTGAGATCGAGTGGATTTAGTAGTCTAAACGAAGCCCTAGATCTCTCTACAAAAACTGTGGGTCTTGAAAACTCAACCAAATACGGAATACCTTCTAGAGAGATTCCAAATAAATCAAAACCACTGTTTTGTTGCAACGTTTCGACGGCTATATAGAGGGGTTTTCGGATGGGAAGGGTAAATTGATAGATAAATGCATTTGGATGCATGTACGACATGATGAGGATGATGAAACATTCAGTTATTTAAAATATTTATTCGTTTGAAGCAGTCAGCCAGCCAACAATCGAACAACCCAAACAGCCCAACCTGCCTAGGACAAGTAGCCAAGGCAAGGAGGTAGGCTGTTGTATTGGTTTGCTTCTTCGTGTTGTTGTTGCAGTTTTTTTTTTTTTTGGATATCTATCCAAGAGCTTTGTTTTAGCCGTTGACATTGTTGTTCTTGTTGTTTGTGACACACACACAAAGGGGGGTATTGAAAATGCTTGGAGTGTTCAGCTGGTGGATAGGCCCATGTGTGTATGTGCGTGTGAGTGTGCGAGCTTTTGTTTCATTTGTTATTTTAAGGATTATTACACTTAATTAAAACTGTTAGGCTTGTTTTGTTGTCACTTTTGTTTTCCGTTTTTCTGTTTATTTATTTATTGCTGTTGTTGTTGTTTTTATTTAACACTTCAAACCTCTGAGCTTCCTTGCAAATTGCAATTGCAACTTGGAGTAGTTGCTGAATGAATGACGCAAAACGATGGCAATGCAATGTCGTCGCGATGAGTGAGTGAGTAAAGGTGGTCTTTAGTTTAGTGCTGTGTTATTTGTTGTTGTTGCTGTTGTATTTATGTGTGGCACTACTTCTTTGGCGAAGAGACCTCAACATTCGCACCCACAACTTAAGTGTTTGTGTCTGTGTCACAACGACGACACATGATGATGTTGTTTGTTGATTGTTAGTCTGTCTGTTTGTCTGTCTGTCCGTTTGTAAGTTGCTGTTGTTGTTGCTGGCGTGTATACTACCCCCTCGGAGGTTTTCTTTGGTAGTCTCAATGGCCCCCGATAGTGTGTCTCACTGTCGCTCTCTTAAGAAAAAATCAATAAATTGCGTTCAATTTAAATGTGTTCTATGCAAATTTACAACAAGAAACCCGCCGTAACACTACCGCACCGTAAACGAACCGTACCACACAGCGTAACGCACCGCACCACCCGGCACAATACAACATCAGAACGGGCGAACGAATGAACGGCACTACTCAGCACTGCATCATCGCCATCGCAATCACCATCATCCTCATCGCCAACATCAGTCGTTAAAAGGCATTACACATTTTTTGTTGTTTCTTTCCTTTTTTATTGTTGTTGTTGTTGTTTTTTTTTTTTTGAAAACTGAAACGTTTTATTTTGTTGCGAATTTATTGTTGTTGTTGCCGTTGTTGTTTATTTACGAATTATTTTTGATTTACAGCAATGCAAGTGTTTTGTTGCAAATTCAATAAACAGACTTTTCGGTTTCTTCGTATTTCTTCAGAGCTTAAAATGCGTGCCCACCGAATAAAGTGAGTGTGTTAAATTGGTTTGAGAGTGTGTCACAATGTGTGTGTTTGTGTGTCTTGTACTATTTAAGAAACCTCTTCTTCTTCTGCTGCTGTTGCTGGTTTGCCGCAATTAGATCGCCTTATTATTTGTTGTTGTTGCGATTCTTTGTTTTTTTTTATTTTGGGTTTGTTTATCTTGTATTTTTTTGGTTTGTTTTTATTGTGTTCTACTTGTCACGAACGTTAGTTGTTAGTTTATTTCGTACACTTTCGTTGTTGTCGTCGTCGCCGTTATTCTTCTTCACTTTTTTTGGGGGGTACTTGCAACCAACTAACCCGTTCAAACACGACCAATTTGTTGCTCCTGCGAAAACAAACTGATCGATCGCAATTTTCAAACGAAGCACTATTGCTGTTGCAGCCACTCGTGGTGGCATTCGTGCTGCTGTTGTTGACGTTAACGCACACGTCATCATCACTACACTGCACAATGAAAACATAAAGGCACCATTCAACCAACCAAGCAGCACACATGCACGCACACACAGAAACACACAACTGAGACGTTGACGTTCTGCCAACTGCACAACACAACGCAGCACACTCATGTAAACAAAAAGCCGGCATGAATGGTGCTGCTGCCGCCTTCGGGTGCTGATGTTTTTGTTTTGGGGAGCCACATGGTCTGCTGTTGTTGTTATTGCTGCTACGGTTCAAATTGTTGTTGATTCCCATTGCTGTCGTTGTTGTCATCGTTGTCGTTGATTGTCACTGCTATTTGCCGATTGCTGTGTTGTGTGTGGGGGGTTCTTCTTCGCTTCATCCGTTTTGTTTGTGGTGTTTGTTTGATTTTTGGAAAACAACTGTTAACAACAGAGACTAAACTCCACTGTTGTTGCGAAGTGTGGGTGTATGTGTAGAAATTTGTGTGCATTAACGTATGTGAGAATTGATGTGTAGGGTTTAAATGTTAACTTACAGTCATTTAATTTGTAGGCCATTGAAACGTTTATTTTTGAAATGTTATTTCAAAATATAAAATATTTTGAAATGTATTAAATTGCAATTAAAAAGGCCTTAGACAATTGCTTGAAAGCTTTACGAAGTGGATAATAAAAATTTGAAGAGTTGAATAAATAAGATAAGCTAAACAGCCAATATGTATCTAGGAAAATTGCATAGTGATGTACGCATTATTCCATATTGTTGGAAATCCGTACCAATAAGGAAGTAAAAATCAGCAGAGGCTTTTGGGTTCTGATTAGTTGAATTTAAATGAAAAAGTATTCAGGAAAAACGGAAGATTACATCCAAACTGGACATATATCGTTGATTTGTTATAAACACGTTCATATTGGGTTTAACAATTTTACAAATGTTGACCATGGTGGCGAAGGTAGTGGAGTAATAGGTTACTTCCCTTAAATTACTGATACATTGCTAATATTTTTAGAGAAATTCTGGTTTATATCTAAAGCGGTGCAGGGTGTCCTATATTCGATCTCGACGAAATTTTGTTCATTCCTTACTATTTTATTTTTTGGTTTACTGTCACTCTTTTCCTAAATATATAAAAATCAGAAAATTAAGGTATTAATACTAAATAAACCGGTGAGCGGAGCAGTATAGTCGGACAGGGCCGAACATATTATTCCCTACACAAATACCACTTAACTTTAAGCTTTTATGGATTTGTATTGCGAGCATAGATAATATTTCGCGATATTGGCACTCTCTTGACCAATTAGATTTACTGCCAGACTCACTGTGGCAGACTCCTTCTCAATTCGTTCGAAGGTGGCTGTTACTGCTCGCAATTTTCGACCCATTATTTCGATGTCAGAAATGTTCTTTCCAGATCCTCAACACGCTGCATTTATCAAATTTAGTACACAGTAGCACGAACTTCCGAAAACTTAACCCAAACCTACATCCTCACAGTAATCCTAAATCCAAGTTTCTGGATTCCAACTCTATCTGTCCACCCACTATTCAAATTGTACCAAATTTAGTACACAGTAGTACCAATTTCCAAAATTTTCGATATACAACAATCCTACACTCCAACAGTGATCCAATTTTCAGGATTCCAACTCTGTTGATTTACTCACAATTTAAATTGTACCAAATTTAGTACAAATTTCTAAAACTTTTACATATCTCAACCATACACCTCAACAGTGATCCTAACTCCAAATGTCATGATTCTAGCTCTATTGGTTCACCTAAAATTCAAATTGTACCAAATTTAGTATCATGAAGTACCCATAAGTATTAATTTCTTAAACTGAATCCTGACCCTAATCCCACACCCCTACAGTGATCCTGACTCCAAATTTCATTGTTCCCGCTCTATCGGTTCAGCCAAATCCAAACTGTACCGATTATAGTACGATTTAGTACTTTTCGTACACATAAAATAACAAAATTCCAAAACTACGTTCATATCTCAATAATACACTCCGACGGTAATGTTATTTTCAAATTTCAGGATTCCAGCTGGAATTGTATCTCCAAATTTAATTTGTACCAAATATAGTACCATATTGTACTTTTCTCACACTTGAGTAAACGCTTCCAAAAGCATCTCCTTAAATAGGCCTTACATCACAGCCCTTATTCGCATTCTAAATTTCAAGTTTTTAGCTCTATCCATTCACATGTTACGAAATTGTACCAAATTTAGTAAATTTTAGTACTTTTCACATAATTATAGTTCGAATGTCCAAAAAATCTTTTGATATTCTACAATCCATCGGTGACCCTCATTTAAAATTTAAGAGTTCTAGCTCCACCAGTTCGCCAAATACAAATACATTTAGTACTTTTTGTTCTAGTACGAATTTCCAAAAACCCAGCCTTAACTGTCACCTTTGGACCAAGAGTGACCCTCACCTAAAATTTTAAGATACTAGCTTCAGCCGTTTCGTCTGGGCGTCGATGAATCTTTAAATCAGTCAGTCCATCATTTTACTCTTTTATTAGTATAGATAGATTGTCATTGTTGGATGTCTCTTCATGGAGGCTGAATTTTCCGAAGGTGGGGGCGATCCAAGGCTGACCTACAGTCATGAACAACTCCACACTTTGTACTTCACGATATTACACCACAATTTATGTTTTTCTGATGGATGTGGATAGCCTTTCGCCCTTTCTGTTCCCATAGAAATGAAAAATCTCAAATAATTATGCTTAATTTTTTGTATATATTTGTCAACATTTATATTCCTTCGGGCATTTGTATAAAAACGGGAACTTTAAAACAAATCACATCCTGATTGTATTCGTTTTCAGCCTGCCACATCATTGTACCGCGTACCTGTAAAAGATGGAAATCAAATAAATAAATCAATATCCAAATATTCATTCCGCTGGAAATGTTTAACATACCATCGGCAGGGTATTGTTGACATGTACGACGGCATAATACGTTTTACCATCCGTATCATTTGAAATGCATTCATGATCTCCGTCACAGGGATCCGGGCTAATGTGAGCATCCGTTTTAATGGCATTAAATATCCAACGCACTTCGTGCTTCAAATATGTTGTATTATTTCCTGGGAAGAAATAAAGAACAAGTAGCGGTAAGAGAAATGGGATGGTGTTAGAGTTTTATTAGCAAGGAAAGAAGCGACGAAATTGGGTTCTAATAGTAGGACTTATTTAAATTTACTTACCATCGTCATCGAATAGCACATTGACTTTGACCGTAGTTCCACGATACATAACACATGGTATGCTATTACAGCTGGATATACTCAAATACAATATCAAATAACGTGAACCTGAAATTTAAAAGAAAATGTTTTCGGATTATAAAAGAATTCAGATGAATGTATATAAATGTGTTTTTAATACGAAAAATATATAATTCGGATGACCTTCCTGATTATCTATCCTACAAATTGGGAGAAAATCCTCTGGCGAGTATATTGGGAATGTAGTAGAATAGATTTTGGGTGACGTAGGGGGTGATAGATACCAATCAATGACTCTGATGGGCTTCAACATGGCAAAGCCTAGGCTTATCTTACCTCTCCGTGATATCGTCTGGTTAGTTAGTTATAGCTTTGGCGGATGTACTCAAGAAATACAAAGCCGATAATATTGCCTAGTAAATCAGATGATTACGCCCTGTATTATAGTTGCCATAAAATAAGAGGTGAATTTGACTGCGGATTTATGGTTAATAGGAGAATAAAAGACTTCGTCAACAGATTCACTCAACTAAATGAGCAAATTGCTATAATCCCTATAAAAGCGAAGTTCTACTCCATCAGTCTTATTTCCGCCCATTCTCCGACCAAAGACAAAAGTGAACAAACCAAAGACATATTTTACGATCGCCTAGAAACAGGATATGACCACTGTCATGTCCATGACATTAAAATTCTGCTAGGAGATTAAAAAAATCGGAAATCGGAAGGGAAAATAGTTTTGGTCCCACCGTCGGGAAATTCAGCCTCTATGAAGAAACATCTGAAACGGCATGAAGTTATTTGACTTTGCGGCAGCAAAAAAAAATAAAAACATGTTAGCAGCACCAGATAAAAGCATCTCGATATACACAAGGTCACCTAGGTATCTGCCTATCAAGCAACGAAAAATTAAACTGATCCTGTTGTGATAAACGGAAGGCATTCATCCAGTGTTTTAGACGTTCGATCAATCCGAGATGGGAATATCGATTTAGATCACTACATTGTAGCAGCTAAGATTCGAACTCATCTTATTGTCTCAGCAAAGGTGCAATCTAACATAACACGGAAACTCGACGTCGAAAAGCTGCAAACACAACAGGTAGCAGAATCACCTCAGAATCAGACTTCCTCAAAAGTCGACTTCGACTTTTTAACTTTTCAATACAAGCAGTCGACTAATCGAATAGTCGATTTACATATCCCTAATCGACATAATGGATCGGACATTGAGAGCGGTAACAGCCACTTTTGAACGAATTAAAAAGGGGTCTCCCAAACTGAGACTGGCAGTAAATGGCGAGAAGACCAGACTGATGGTATCAACGTGCAAAACGTCCAGTTGACTCGGATCAACTGCGTAACTTAAAAACTACAGCTTTGAGATAGTCAAAGGGGTCTCCCAAAGTAAGACTGACAGTAAATGGCGAGAAGACCAGACTGATGGTATCAACGTGCAAAACGTCCAGTAGACTGACAGTAAATGGCGAGAAGACCAGACTGATGATATCAACGTGCAAAACGTCCAGTAAACTCGGATAAACTGCGGAACTTGAAAACTACAGCTTTGAGATAGTCAAAGGGGTCTCCCAAAGTGAGACTGACAGTAAATGGCGAGAAGACCAGACTGATGGTATCAACGTGCAAAACGTCCAGTAGACTCGGATCAACTGCGGAACTTGAAAACTACAGCTTTGAGATAGTCAGCGAGTTTATATACCTCGGTACCGACCTAAATAAAACTGATGACATCACTTTTGAAATCCGCCAGACCAAATTCACACCCTACAAGACGCTGTACTACCCGTGCTGCTGTATGGATCCGAAGCATGGGTACTTGCGCAAGCCAAATCTACGAATTTGTCATCGAGTTCTGTTTCGTATAGAGAAACATTTCGATCGTTGTAAACGTGTGGATCACCGCATATGATCTTAATTTATTTTGTCTACTACCTTTTTTTTACATTGCTGTAAAAAATATGGTAAGAAATTGGAAGCAAAAGAGAATGTCAAAATAAGTTTTTGTAATCAACTTAAAATATATGTGTACAAATATATTATGAATCCTAGTATTTTTTGATTGATTTAATCGTCTTCTGATTCAGAGGATGTGTACAATGTGGCATTAATAAGGAATTTAGTTTTTTTTTCTGCTAGTTTTCGATAACATACTACCTATCGTATACAACTTTGAGTAGAGACAATTCGATAACGACTGCGGTGATCCGCTTGAACATTGCTATGGCGAAGTACTCGATTTCGACAGATGAGACAGCTCCGAATGATCTACGGCTCGTTCTGCGTCGAATGATGTAGGTGCTATACCATCTATACACGGACCTTGACGTAGTCAAACGCATCGAGCTGCAGTGACTATGGTGACAAATTTAAAAGCGAACCATATGATGGATCACGCAGATGGGGAAGGTCACGAATTCGATGGAAAGATCAAGTGGATGGACATATCAAAACATGGTCTTTCAAATTGGAAAAGCTTCTTAAGGTCGACTTATGGATCAAATATCCTGTCACAAGCCAGCTATGTAAGTAAGTTATATGTACAGTATTTTTCGGTTAATTGAACCTACGGTTAATTGGTTTCCACGCTTAATTGAACCACATGATGTGTCAAAAATATTTAATTTCAAAGTAAGCGGGTTCGGATAATTGGTTCCTCGGTTAATTGAACAAAAATTTGTGCAAATTTTGATGTGCAATTAACCGAAAAATACTGTAGTATGAAATTTCAAAATTAATTGTATATTAATATGAAATGAATAGATTTTCAAGATTAGCTTCATAAAGTATGGAATATTACATTGTGTGAGACGTACTAGAGGAGACTTTTATATGGATTCTATGTCATGGTTAATTTCTGCCAGAAACAATGAAATATCAAATTACAGACTCTCACTTGCTAGTTGATGGAAATTTTGGCTAGTATCTTGAAAATAAAGAAATTCTCATCAACTGGAAATATCGAATACCACAGCAAACAAATACCGAATATTAGGAATACAATTATATTTATCCAAGTAGTGTAGTGCGTTCATGATGTTATCTACCCCACAAAAAAAATATCGAAAGTCTGGTACTTGAAATTTTACGTTTTACATTTATGTCAATTACCATCGGGTATTAAATGATACTTCAATATGTCACAATAATAAATATTTGAACGAATGCTCGATATAAATTAAAAATGTTCAGACAGTTATATAGACACGTTTTAACTTAACTGATGGTTGCATTAAAAATTTGAAATTAAGTGAATAACCTCAATTTTTTAATAAAAACTTTGTTTTTTTTTAAATTGAATTGCAAGAATATTTTTTGCATTTTCTTTGCAGTTCATTTCCTCATCGATCCAGCAAGTCATTGATCTATTGGCCCAATTTCGATTTCAAATAATTTATATTTTCATTTTACGGTGTTGTTGTTTTTTTTTCTTCTATTTTGTTTTGCAATTTGTATACGGATGTTTGTTTTAATTTCTTCAAAATTTCCTTTAATTACAATTGGCACGTACATGATTTTGCTATTTTTTGTTAGAAGAACTTGTAATGATATAGGTTTTCATTTTTTTTTTTTTTTTTTTTTGCAAATATATATGTGTGTGCATGGACTCATTTATGTAGATAGGATTTGATTACTTTGTAATAGAATACAAAACACGAGTTTGAAATCCCATAAAAATAGGCGTGCGTGTAAAGAATATTTGCCATTTAATGGCCACATTTACAAACATACAAATGCCATACATTTTAAAATTAATTGAAATTGAAAGAAGCGATACAGTTTTTATACCCTCCACCATATGATGGGCAAACCAAATACCTAAAATCGATCGGGAATTTTACATGGCGCCCAAAGTGAATATTAAATTTCGATTCGTTTAAAAAATGTGTCTAGCTTGATCGAGACAGAACATTTGTTCCATAATTCGACCTTAAAAAAGATTTCCAGACGGGTCGGTCTTGTGCGCATCTCCTCCAAATTGAACCACCATGTTCCGAGATGGTGTCTTCCACTTGGTCTTTGCATCGAATTCGTGGCCTTCTCCTTGGACGTGAACCATCAGTTGACTCGCTTTTATAAGCGTTTTGAGGCATATCCATTCTTCATGTCGATGTTTGAGAATTGATGGTATAGCTCTTGGTTCATTCGACGACGATATTCACCGTCGACGTAGATCGGACCATAGATCATCCGCAGAATTTTTCTTTCAAACACCCCAAGAACTGCCTCATCTGCTTGCGCAAGTACTCATGCTTGCGATCCGTACACCAGCAGCTGCAGTTTTCAAGTTCCACAGTTGGTACGAGTCTACTGGACGTCTTGCACACTGATACCATCAGCCTGGTCTTCTCGCAATTGCAATTTCTGTTTACCTTTGCATGTCGTATTACCTTTTCCAGCAGGTTGTTAAAAAGATCACACGACAAACTTTCACCTTGTGTGAATTCTAGTACGGTATTGAAGGACTTGATCCTTTGGTCCTTTTACGACTATATCTGCTGATCTTGTGCCAGTTATAGTCATTCTGCATAGCCGTCTTAATTTAACTGGAATGCCGAATACAGACCATGTAAGCACTTCTGAGCGGATATGAGCAGTCGAATGCGGCTTTTTTTATAGTCGACGAATAGTTGGAATGTGTCAATGTATTTTTCGTGGCCCTTTTCCAGGATTTGGCGCAGAGTGAAAATCTGGTATGCAACCGCATTGGTATAGCCCGATAATGTCCTTGACTATTGACTTCAGTCGTTTACACAGTACACTGAATAGCACTTTATATGCGACACTGTGAACGGGACACAGGATGCTGAGGTTCCAATTCCATTCCATTGGGCATTAATTGCTCTAGCCAAATTGTACTAATCAGCTGGTTTTACAATCTATACCGTCATCTCTAATTTGTTCTGGGGTATCCTCCTCAACGCCACTATTTGATATCAGAAGCTTTGCAAAAATAATCCTTCCAGTTCCCTCACATGCTATCTCTATCGGTCACCAGGCTTCCATCTAAATCTCTACAGGAGGAAGTACCTACATCATAGCCTTCGGTTTGCTGTTTTACTCGTTGG